TGTTTTGTTTTTATCATATGTACCAAAAGGTCCAAAAGGACTTGGCATCTGTTTGTTTATATGATATGAGATTAGGAAGTCTGTTAGTTCTTAAATAGCCTAGAAGGATATTCTCTTTCTAAGGTCATAATATATTTCTAATAACTCGCATCTCAGAGTTGCCAGCAATTCTTGGGAGAATCGCTCCACAAATTAGATTTTCAATAACATGCAAGCTAAGACTTCATCATTTCCTGTCCAAACACCAGTGTCGTTGAGGAAAAGAGTTTTGCCTGGGAATCTTAGGGGACCCCTCTCTGCCGTGCTTTGATCTGAACCAAGATGGCGCTGCTAGGCCTTCCTCTGCCCTCAGCTCAGTCACGGCTTCTCAAAGGCTGAGTCCGACTCCAGTTCCTATAAACAAAGCGTCATTCTCTCTCACTAACACAAGTCATCTTTCAAGGGTTAACATTCACCCTCAGGTGTGAATGGTCATTTTCATGTTTCCTGGGCGCAGAAGGTGGTGGTTCTGAAAATGATAAACTGATACCCACTTACCTGGTATAATCTTTATTATGGTTCAGTCAAGTCGCAGCCTCAGAGCACGACGTCTTCCTGTGTCCACAGTTCATTTTTGCCACACAGGATTTTTCACATAAAACTTGGATTTCTCTATGATAAGGAGAAAGCATACAATTTGCGCATAATTTTCTTCCCTTAAAATAACAATTTCCACCAATTCAGTTAAGAATCATGTTGTTTCTAAAAATAAAAGCGCATACCAAGTGCCTCCTGACAGAGGATTCCCCTTTCTTCTCCCTCTTTCCCTTCCAGTAGAGAGCTCAGGGAAAGGGAATGCCAAGAGTAAAATGAAGAGCTAAAAGTTCATTTCAGATCTAGCCAGACTACTACCCAGGAACTGAAGTGGATATTTCCTTACCAACACCTGGGCCACGCCCAGTGAATCTTGAGTCAGGATCTTGAATGACAGGCCAAAAAACCTGAGTGCTTTTAAAATTCCCAGGTGCTTCTTATCAGCACCCGGGCTTGAGGAGCCCTTAGAGCACAGGTGGCAACCACAAGGCCCACGGGCCGAATCCAGCCTCCACCTTGTTTTACCAGCCCTGCTCCTGGTTTCTACCTGGCAGCAGTGCCCAGCTCTTGCTTAACTGTTAAGGAGGAGTTACATTTCTAGTCCTAAAATTACATTTGGCCCTTTGAAGGCAACCTGGAGGCTGATGTGGTCCCCAGTGAAAATGAGTTTGACACGCCTGCCTTAGAGTTTCTAATCACATAACAGTGTTCAAGACTTCCCAGGCCTGTAACTTATCCAGTATTACCTGTGTGACTTTTAGTATCGACTGTACTGTTTTTGTGTCTATAAAGTGGAGGTGGTGAGTGGTGACAACTGCTCTAGGTTGGGTTTTTTTTTTTTCATTATCAAACCACAAGCAAAAATATTTACTTTCTATGCAGAAACTCATTCTGTTTGAGGATGTTGTAAATATGCATCAATGTGGCTAGGATGATCAATATTATGACTTCCACTCCATTCATTCGGTCAGAATTAAAGCTCCCGAGGTACTTAGCTAGTGGCTATTGTATTAGTTTCTAATTTTTATTCATTTATTCAACAAGTATCCATTTGATACACCTCATGATACTCCCTTATTTAAAATTCCCCATCACAGAATCATGGATCCTAGGGCTGGACGGAACTTAGTCCAGTTTTCCCAATTAGAAGATGGAAAAACTGAGACCCGGAGAGTATTGTAACTTAATTCAAGACTAAGTTACATTAGACGCATGCATCTAGGTAGTTGTAAAGCTAGAAACAGAGCAGAATACTCTTTCTTAATCTTTTACCTGAAGCCCTTGAGCTACATTATAAATGATTTATCTATAGATAAATGAATTTATATAGATATAAATGCATTTGTATATAGATAAAATTTATAAAATATAGATTTACATTGACAGGTTAGGTGGTTCAGTGGATTGAGTGCTGGCCTGAGAACCAAAAGGCCTCTGGTTTGATTCCCAGTCAGGGCACATGCCTGGGTTTCAGGCCAGGTCTCCATCTGGGGGTGCATGAGAGGCAACCACACATTGATGTTTCTCTCTCTCTCTTTCTCTCTCCATTCCCCTCTCTCTAAAAATAAATAAATAAAATCTTCTAAAAAAAGAATTAAAACATTTATGTAGGTACAGAATTAGTACTACTCACATATAATACACCTTATTTTTCCCTCAAAATTTGGGCCAAAAAGTGCACATTATAGACGACAAAATACGGTAATACACTGATAGTGCCTGCTATTTAATAAGAAATAAAAATATTAATTTTATTATTCTATAAGCCTTTCTTCTGTGTACATATAAAATATATGTACAAAATGATATTCTACTGTGTAATTTCTAGTAGTTTTTAAATTAATATAGTGTACCATAAAGGATTTATCTACATAATTAAACATTCTAATGCACATTTTTAATGGCTGCATAGTATTCCCTAGTGTAGCTGTACCAGAGTTTGTTTAACAATTTTATTATTTTGAGCATTTAGATTAGTTCCAAATCCTACCACAGTCAACAATATATCCATAATTAAACCTGGGCTAATTTATGATTCTACCCTTTGGAGGGAGAAAAAAGCTGGTCCAAGGGTATGGAGTTTTAAGGATTTTGACACACGATGCCAAATTGTTTACAGTCTACACACTTATGTAGCTAATAAAGAAAAATGTTGTAAATTAAATACAACTTACTCTGGGGGACAAGTCTATTGACGCACTGTGTGTCTCATTCATACCTAACAGAGTGTGTAAAATCTGTGGTACAATAAACATACTGTAGTTCCAGATGCCATTACAACTACTCGCACCTAGTTGAAATACAGTTTTCACACAAATCCCACCAATGAAAAGAAATATATATTTTTTAAAGTTTGACCCCTTTATTATCTTTCCTTACGTGAAACTGTCTGCAGTCAGGAAAACTGTTGACTTCTGTGACAAAGTCCCCTGAGTCAGACTGTTGTGGTCAGAGCAGGAACAGTGCCGTGTTCAGTGACATACTGAGTCCTGGCCATGCAAGAAATTTATTCTCAATAGCAACTTGAAGCTTGAAGAAAATTTTGTAGGAAAGAAAAACATTCAAGGTTCCACCTAAGACTCCTTAAATAAAAGTGGGCGTTTTAACTACCCAGAAGATGTGACTGTTCATCCTTTACAAGCCGCAGATTTTATTTGTTCCGGCTCCATGAGGCGACTTTACGGATGTTCCCATTGAAATCTTGAGCAGTTCTGCTGATGTCACATGTTCATTGAAGTTCACATTGATTGCTCTCGATGTCTCTGAATGCTTTATTTTGGTCTTGTTATGTCAAGGTGGCCCCAGAATGCCTTCAGGAGGACTTTAGACAACAACCAGACAAGTGTCTGTCCTGGAGGGCAGGAAGGGTCATGGGACAGGAAGTTACACGCATACTGTTGTCACTTACATGGATTTTATGCAGGGTGACTTGAGACACTGATTCTCTTCAAGTGAATTAGAAAGACAAGGAAAAGAGAGACTATAATCAATATTAAAGCTATAGCAATTTAAATGTCTTTGTTATTTTTTCCAGGAATGAGAAAAAAATCAAGTTCAAAAGGAAAGATGTCATTCTCACTTAATCACTGGTGCTTCATACTGTTCATCTTTTTATGTGTAAGTAAAACAAAATTATTCTAAGCTATGTAATTCAAGAATGCTGAAATACAGAGGAATGTTTCCAGTATGAGTGAATGGACGTTATAGTAGTAGTGGGCATTGTTTTCCAGAAGCTAAAACTAAGTTCCTCAAAACTATCCTTATCCCAATATTTTGTTAAGAAATCCCCCCTCAAAACTTCCATTGATTTAATTTAGTATTACATTTACCCAGAAATGTGAGCCATGTTGGTTTACAAAAATATACCATTAATTTGAGACATCTCTTTATTATCTTGTAAATTAATAATGAAGGTTAATAATGTTCTGGATAAAATGTCTTTCACGTTAGACATTTGAATTTGAGTTATAGTTTCTGGGCCACTGTCTTTTTTAAACATCGAAACTCTTTCGATCTGTTTATTGATTGAAAAGACCATACAGAACCTGGATATTTAAAAAATCACAGAATAAAATACCACCGAAACATCATGGCCACAGAAGAAATTGACATCTCCATGAAAACGATTTAGGATGATGTATTAGACAGTGATCTTTGTAGACACACACAGCAACACCGATAAACAGGACCCACGATGGTGAGGAGGATGAACTAAGGCTGACAAAACTAATGTCAGCCAGCCAGAACCAAACATGCAAAACAGCTGAAAGAAATACTCAAGATTTACATTGATTTTCATGAGTGAAAATGAATGACCCTGTGTAGGTCAAATGCTGATCAAACAAATTACAGAGCTTCAGGCCAATTATTCAAGGCAGAATATCTCAGAATATACGTATTTGTCCGATGGAGTGAATGGGGTGAATTTTTGGCAGTGTGCACAATGTACGTGCAAATAAAGATCAGCTGAAGAAATCCAATTTAACAAAATGTATTTAGTGCACCAACATATCTATTTTTAATGATTAATGATTAATGATTCTTAGGAATTCCAAAAAAAAACAAAGTTGATTTAACATTCCTATTGTTTGGAAATCAGGTTTTCTTTGTTGACATGTAAACTTTACAGCAATAATAAAAATCAAAACAGTCTTATATGATGAAGCGGTGCATGAGTGTGTATGGCTGCTGGGCGTTGCCAGTGCTGATAGGATGAATGCAAATATGGAATCTGTAGGTAGAATCTGTAGATGCAACATAAACACTTATTGGTTATAAAGCAAAACTACTCTACATGGAGTCCATGCACAATCGTTGCTTGTAGGAGGAAAAATAAATGTTTTCAAATGTTTTGTTATTTCATTTCTTTATGTCTACACCCACCTGTACTCTCTGTAAGGAACTGTTTTTGTCATTAACACATACAGCAGCCAGCGCTGGTCCTCCCCAACACTTCAAATGACACCAGTCCAACCGGGGAGCCCGAGCCATTCCTGTACGTTTTAGGACGAAGGAAAATGAAGGATGCCGAGTCCAAGTGCTACAAGCGCATGCAGCTGCTGCCCCCCTACCAAGGAGAAGGTAAAAAAAAGGATGACCTTAGCATGGGTTTCAAATACCATTGAAGGTTTATCTTCTTCCGTGGGTAAATATGTATGAACTGATTTTAACTTAATATGCCCGTAGTTTTAACAGTGGTCTTCATACCATGAAATGTTTGTGTATTTCATGCAGCAGACATGCCTGATTTCTTTATTCAAGTTCATCCAAAGACTTTCTGGCTAACATCTGCACTTAGGACAAAGTTACTACAGTGACTCAGTACTCACCCTTGGCAAGCAGGAACAATGCAGGATTTGGTTAAATATAGTCTATTACCCAATGGTTTGCCTTCAGATAGTTCAACATTTAATTTGTAACTCCCACTTTTCTTTAGACAAAGTAGCAAGTCAATTAAAAGTAGATACATGATATTTTCTGTCTGCAGTAGTTTGTGTTTTTTAAGAACCTGAAAGGCATTAGGTGCAACTTGCCGCCAAAAAGAATCCATTTCTCTGAAGTAAATGAAGCCATAGGAACACTGAACTGATCTTTTCAGAGGCCAAGTGAATGCAGCCATCCTCACTTTGGTCTTAGTTGCCTTGGGAGGTTGAACTTCTGTGCTATTGACCAGTATTTAAAACTTCTTTCTTTCTTTTTTGTTTTTTTTTTTTTGAGAACTGCCTTCAAAGCCTGAGGTTCATTCTTTTATAAAGATAAATGTTTGTGTTCTGGGGTAGATTTAAGTTTTGAAGATAGTGAGAAACTACTTGGAGCCGATGTTGATGAATATGTGATCAAACTGAGCATTATTTTAGCCAGTAATAAAGTGTGATTCTAAAGTAATAGACTGTTTATATTGTAATTCATCTGGCTGCAAATGCATCTTCACTAGGAATTTGGAACAATTGCATCATCTTTGAATTAAGAATAGAACCACCCAAGGCAACCCCTTTGAAGGTTAGTGGTTAGTAGGATACTTATATTCCAAAGCCATATAGTTTTTTTTTAAGGAGGCTTTATGCAAGAGTGATTTTGCATATACTTTCACATGATTTTTCTTATAGCATTTCCAGAGATATTTTAAAGGAAAGATTTGGAAACAGCCCAAGTGCCCATCAATAGATGAGTGGATAAAAAAGCTGTGTTACATATACACAATGAAATACTTCACCGCCATAAAAAAGAAGGGCTCTTACCTTTTGCTGCAGCATGGATGGATCTGGAGATTATTATGCTAAGTGAAATAAGCCAGCCAGTGAGACAAATATCATATGATTTCACTTGCATGTGGAATCTAATGAGCTGGTGAACAGAACAGAAACAGAGTCATGGATACAGGGAGCAGATTGACGGCTGTCTGGGGCTGGGGCTGGGGGCTGAATGAAACTAAGTAAAGGGATTAGCCAAAGAGCAGATATGCATAACCCATGGACACAGACAACACTGTGCTGATAGCCTGAGGGGAGGGTGCGCAGCATGGGCCAGGTGGAGGTGGGCAAGGTGGGGCCGGGAAATGGGGACGTCTGAAATAGTGTCGACAATAAAAATGAAGTTAAAGGTTAACTGACTAATTAATTAATTAAAGAAAAGATTTTGGGGTGAAAGATTCCATACAGAAGACATGTGTGTCTTTTGAGGAACAAATGGAGAAAATGCTAGAAAAAACGTAAATTCCGTTTGTAGTTGATAAAGTTAACCGCTCTATTTTGCTGCTGCTGCTGCTGCTGCTACAAGTGAAGAGCCCCAGAATAACTGACTGTACACTACTAAACCCCGCAGAGGTTTCCGCAGTTTCTGACGATGGCATGTGCATTTCTTTCTGAATGGCCAGGTCTGTTTTGCAACCGCACCTGGGACGGATGGCTGTGTTGGGATGACACACCGGCTGGGGTGACGTCCCACCAGCACTGCCCCGACTACTTTCCGGACTTCGACCCCACAGGTGGGACACTCGTTTTTATTTTCTGTTTTGTTAGGAAGCATAAAACTGACTTCTTTATACATCCCTTAGTGGTGGACTTCTTTGTTCCATTGAATTTAACCATGTGAAATTGCCCATGTTTGACCATTTGACCCACAAAAACTGCAGTCTCAGAAGTCAGTCTAGTAGATAAAGATTGTGTATAAATGAAGAAAAGTATGTCTTGCTCTTCTCACATAGTTCTATCTAAAATCATTAGTTTAATGTCTGTTAAAAAAACAGGAGGTACAGTGAAGCTAGCACTCTGGCATCGGACAGACCAGGTATTCAATCCTAACCCACCCGCTGTGCACTGACCTTTCAAATTCCATAACCTTTCTCACGGCTTCACGCTGTTTGGAAAATGGAGGTAGTGATGTCTGCTTTACAGGGCTCTGCTGAACATAAAACACGACAGCACATATTAAAACATTTTGTACAATTAAAACACCTCTATAATCTAGTAGATTCATGTTAGTCGCTATTTACTGGTATTCGTATTCAAGTTTCATAAAGGGATTAACATTTTGGAATGATTTTTAAGCCTTCATTTATTATTTTTCCTTCATGCTATTTTGAAATGGTAATGTAATGACAACTGTTATATTTCATCAACAGAAAAGGCTTCAAAATACTGTGGCGAAAACGGAATTTGGTTTGAAGATCCTGAGAGGAATAAGACCTCGACTAACTATAGCATGTGCAATGCTTTCAGTGCTGAGAAGCTGAAGGTAGGATTTATTTCAAATTTCAGTATTCGCTGAAAATGCCATTACTTACACACAGAAATATGCGATAACTGCAAATATGCGATTTCTGCTGCCAGAAAGCTAAACTATATTATAGAAGGAAACAGATAGTGACCTGTGTATTTAATTCTTTTCAATTCAGAACATGCCCTTCAGTTTGTTGAAAACTGGACACTTGAGTATCTATTGTCTTTTTTCCCCTATTGGTGTTCAGCGTGCGTCTGTGTTCCATTCTGTGGATGGACCAAGTTCACCAGCTGATGGATACTGGAGTTGCTCCCCCTGTTTAGCTCTAATAAATAAGGCTGCTATAAACCTTTGTGCTGACATATATTTTCATTTTTCTTGTGTTTTTTCTTTGATCAGTCTTTCCATGGAGAATTGAAATTCTTTTAAGAACTAGCTTTTAACATTGTTGTTTTGTATGTTCAAATTCTCCTTAGCATTACAATTCCCTTTCTTTTACGTTCTTTGAATTTAATTTAATTCTTGTAAAACTGGAAATTTAGGTCATTGATTTTCAATCTTCTTCAGTTTTTACACATGCCTTTTAGTCTTTAAACTTCCCCCTATGTACAGCTTCACCTGCATTTAAAAAGCTTTGGCATGCCATTGTGAGTTCTTCTTTGACCCACTAGTCCTTTAGAAATGTATTGCTTAATTCCCAGCAATATGAGAGAGTTTTCCAAGTTATCTTTTCATTAACAATTTCTAAACTATTGTGGTCAGCAAACGTGATCTTTAAGATTTCAGGTACTTGAATTATGTGGAGACTAGCTAGACAGACTGGTGTATGTCATCTTGGGTAAATATTCTCTGAATATTGAGTCAGCACTTGAAAAAATGGGTCTTCGGCAGATGTTGGGTACAGTGTTTATTACATGTGAATTAGTAAAATTTGTTAATCATGTCATTCAAATCTTCTATAGCTTGATTTTTGTCTGCGTGTGCTATCAGCTACGAGGAGGTGTCAATTTTTTCTTTATGCTTCATATGGTTTGAGTTTATATTAGTAGGTGCATAGAAATTTAAAATTGTGGTATCTTCCTGACTTAACATCTGCACCTGTGCAGTATCACACCAGTCGTCTTATGGTTAGTGTCAACCCGGTCACCTTTGGCATCCTTTTACATTCACTGTCTGTATCCCAGTGTTTAGTGGCATTTCTTAGTGGTAGCACATAACTACTTTAAACAACATCTTGTCCAACAAATTGCTTCACAGGTGAGGACCACAGAGGTCTGGGGAGGTGGGGTGAAAGCCACACAGAGACGTGATAATAATACTCTGAGTAAAGAACTGTTCTGATAAGCCCAGTCTCATGTTTTTCCCACAATGTCGTGTACATTCTTAATCTTATGCTATTCAATCTTTTCATCAGTTTATTATAATTTAATATAAAGAAGTTCTCTGAAATACTTGTTACAATTTTAGTAGAAATTTTAAAGGAGGAAACTATTTCCCTTTTCCATGGTCAGTTACACATTTGTTTTTGTGACTGTTTCGTTGTTGCTGCTGTCGTTCCAGAACGCTTACATTCTGTACTACCTGGCTATCGTGGGCCACTCTGCTTCTCTTTCCACTTTGTCGGTTTCACTGGGAATTTTCATGTGGTTCAAGTAAGTACCCTTATAGCCTCTGCTTTTTATCTTCTTTATGTCACTGAAATAAATGGAAAACTCTGTAAAAGTTAGGCAGGGGCGGGGAGGATCTTCTGCAAATCATAAGAAATCTATAGGAGTCATGAAGTAGCAAAAAAAGTAATATTAATTAAAGTACACGTTTAACCCTACCTCAGAGGACAATAAGATAGATTCATATAACCTTTCAAGGCAACATTCCTCCTTCACAAAACCAAACAGTCCCGAGCCCTTAAGCGCACTGTGTGAACGAGGTAAAGGTTCCATTATCGTGGCTAAAGTTCCATGAAGTGCTGTGCAGAGGGTCCTCTTCCTTCTTTTACCCCCACTCACAAATATGGAGGCCATGGCCACAAGTTCAATTGCACCCTGCCTGATTTCGAGCCATTTCACAAGCGGATTTGGCCAGAAGAGAAGTGGGCCTGATGAGGCCATGGTAGTATTTTTCCAGAGAAGGAAGGTCAAGAAGAATGTCTGCAAGAAGATGTCAGTCTTTTGCCCTTACAAAGCCAGCATCGTTACCTGCAAATATCTTTTAAGACAGTGCGAGGAATAAAATTTCAACTCGAGTTTCTGTTCCAACTCTGTGCCTAGACACTTGATTGCATTATCTGTGGTGAAATGATGGAGTTGATATAGATACTGATTTGACAATAATGGAGAATTTAAAACATTGATTCTGTATTTTCAGGAATGACTTTACAATGTATGTGAGATAGTAATATATGTTAAATTTGGTCCTAAAAATGTCCTAAATTTAGTGTAACTTCTTTAAATCAAAGGCAGAAGGTACTACATTACCCTCTTTGTGAGACTTCTGGCTTCTATGTTACTGTGGGGTGTCCTGCCACTACTTTAGTTGTGGTGGCATTACAAGGGGGAGACCCCAAAAGGCCAGAATTTATTTATTAAAAATTGTGTATTTACTCTTACATGTTTAAACTTCAGTCCCCTTCAAAGTGCTCTCCATTTGATGCAATACCCCTATCGAGACTTTTCCCCACCGCTCAAAAGAATGTTCGAACTCATTCATTTTGATGCCTATTAGTGCTTCTGCCATTTTTGTTTACCTCTTCCACATCAGCAAAATGTTTCCCTTTTGGGGGCAAGATCAGGTGAATAGGGAGAGTGGGGCATTGGGTTCATGCTGTTTTGGGTTAAAAACTGCTATATACTCAGAACCCTGTGAACAGGTATACTCGTAAATCACCCATCATGAAACAGGGAAACATATTGAGTCTTCAAAAAAATTTACTGAAGCCGAACACAACCTCTCACAACAATGCCAGCTGGTGCACTGATAGAGATGAGTTCCTAAACACTCACCTAGTGGGGGAAGCCTGCACTACAAGGGGCCCGCCCTCCAGAAGGTGAAGAATGATGAGGAAGGTGAAGCTCCTTAGTGACTACAAGTAATGCTCCATACATTTGGAGATGTGTTATATAATTAAACATATAGTGATTTATAAGCAGGATCTTAATTTGATTTTTCTTAAAATATTATGATGACACTGAAGAAAATTAAACCAAGAGAAGCACCTGTAAACCCACCCTTAACACCACTATTGTTTTTTATTCCTTTTAATCTTTGTCTATATTTTATATCATAATTATATATTATATTATGTGTAGACCTTATGTAGTCAAGATTCTTACACTGATCTAGCAATATTACTGAATATTTTTTAACTGGATAGCAAATAATAACAGAGAATGAGCTCCTTTCATACATAGTATAACAGGAGAAAGACATAAGCAAAGCAATGAGATATGAGGGATTAATTACTAGAATTACAATAAGAGTATTTTCAATTACAACGATCAAAATATAGCAAAGTAAACACATGGCATGATTGATCTTGGAATGCCTGTTCATTTTCCCACTGCATTTGACAATAGTAAATAAATATATCGTGGCTCTCACACAGACTTGATTAAAAATTCTGCCACTGAAAGTCTATTGTTTAAGATTTTTGATATCACTGAAAAAAAGTGCTCAAACTTATAATAATGCAAATAATAAATGTATTCAGGACTTTAAAGATTAAAAATGTCAAGGAGGCATTTCTTAGTTCTTTATTTCTCCTGCCACCTAAAGAATTGATGAGATGTGAGAGCCAAACCAACAAAGAAAAAGTGTTCCCATAACCACTGCTACACTAGAGCCAGTGCACATGGCTGTTTAAAGGTGCAGCACATGGACCAAGTGAAACACGTCCCAGCCCCAGTCAGTCCCCAAACAAAATCAACCTGGTCAAACCCAGGGGATCAAATTTGGGGGCAGATTGTCTAGAAACAACCAGATTTTGTTCTCCTGTCTCAATTTCCAGAACCTGTCCAACAATTTAAATCTTGGTTTAAAAAAAAAGTATTGATTTATAACCTGAATATCATAATGCGAAGACATGAAATAGCTGCTTCTCCAGAGCCCACACAACAAGAAACAAACAGAATGTGAACACTTGTGCTGTGATGCTAAATATCCAGATCCAAGTGGGGTTATATCACATTTTTATACACGTTCTTAACCTCATCTTAAACCTACCCAAAGCAAACATATCAAGGGCACCATTTTCTTAAGATTACAGTGTGTTTCTAACTCTTCACATTTTTCTTTACATTTGCATTTTTTAATATTAAAAGTGATTGTATAAATGAAAGATTGTAAATCTAATCCGTCACTGGATTTTCTCTTTTGATTAGCAGTGTTTTCCCCAAATCTTCAAATGCTCAACAGCACCCTTGTGGTCTTTACTGCCATCACACTGGAAGCCTTTATGACTTATGCACTTAAATGGCATCATCTGTGGGAAACCTGAGCAAAAAGTAATCTTCTCTCCCTTGCACAATTCCACATTCCCAAGGCTGGGTTGTTTTGCAAATTGCAAACAATCAATTTTATAAAACTGTCAAGAAGGCAAAATGAGAGGTCACACCCGGCTCCTCTTCTGGTGGTGCCCAGTGCCCCATTCACAGTCGTCCCATTGGAATCTTACTCTAAAGCCACAACGTGTGCCTGCCAGAGCCTTTTTAAAAGGAACAACCTGTAAGAGTCCTCCCCAAACCTGTGGTATCATACCAATTTATGCAATCTTCAAAACTTAAGGCAAAAATTAAATGTTTTCTATACCATTTTACCATTAGCTCTCTAAAAGCATACATATACATACATAGTGTACTAATAACTTGAAACAAATTTGCAGTGTGAAAGATTTGTGCCAGGTGAACTAAAGCCATGAAAGTGACATTATTACACGTTAGCCTTAAAATATGACGTCTTGAGATCCCCACTCACGTAGATCATTCTCTTCTTCACATGGGAGTGACACCTGGATCAGGTTGAGGCAGACATCAATTATGTCACCTTATCCCCCCACTAGTCCAGCATCTTCAGTGCTTATGGGTCCTTTTCACTCAGAGAGAAAGTAATATTCTATCCATCTCAATACCTATTTTTATCGAGAGAAATTAGCCATAGCTAATGTCAAGTTTGTGCTATTTCTACTTAAAGACTTTCCATATCTGATAGGAAAATATTGTCAGCTTCTCTCACATTCATTCAGGCAACAAGAATTTACATTGAGAACAATTACACGTGGAATTACTCTCATTAAATTCAGCTAGTCCTCGTTAGCATCCTATACCTCTTCTTCAGAACAGTTATCCCACTAACAGTAAATAAACACATAGTATATAAGGTCCCTAGCAGGAGAAGCTGTCTGCTTTGTTCACCAATATATCCCTAGCACCTACCAGAAGATCTAAAGTATAGTAGGTACACAATATGTGTTGGATTATTGAATGAATTTTAATAAATTTAAACTACCTTTAACTCATTTCAAAAAGCTCAGGGTAAATGTCATGAAAGTGTAATAAAAATTTTAAAACTTAATTAGCAGAAATTATATTGAAACCTTCAAGAAACAGAAACTCTTATTATATATTAGTCATAGTGTTCCTGAACAGTTAATCCAGCTTTAAATCATCACTTTCTCACTATGTACATAAAGCAGTACTGTATATAGGTTTTAGCTAACAGGATAATGTCCACTATCAGTTAGTTAATGCCTATGGTTAAGAATTTGACACAGGTTCACTGTGATACAAAGGGTAAGACTTGGGACCATCTACCTTGAATGTAATTAATTCTCTGATATACTGGGCAAATGTTTAGTGGTCACAGTTCAAAGAAGAAAATTGTTCTTATATTTTCAGTCCAAAAAATTACTATTAAGCCCTACAGTGTACCCAGACAGCGTTCTGGATGCACAAAGCGGTTTCATTCTAGTGAGAAAAAAGGAGAAAATAACAGGCAATAAACAAATATATGATGTCCTGAGAGGAGAAGAAAAATAAAGCAGGGATGCAAGGGCCTGAGAGCAAGTAGAGGTGTAGGAAGTGCATTTTATTCAGGGTAACTCCTGCTTATGCAGGACATTAAACATTAACCAGCCCTTTAAGTTAATGTTGTACATTGGCAGATTATTGAACTCTCCCTGATCAAAAGAAAACCAGGCACGAGAATGGCAGCGCTGTGTGATGAGTTCACCCACACCGCTTAGTTCTGGTTGATGTCAGTGGTCATAGGTCTAAACCAGGCTGAACCCAATCACCAGACGTCAGCTGCCTCCCATTGAGAAGAATTATAAATGCTGTTCTGACTGTCAGAAAAATGGCAGGGGACAGCTTAGCAATGCAACAGGGACAAGTGTCTGCAGTATCAATGGGTACAAAGTTTTACATACATAATTTTTCTTTTTAAACCCTTAAAATTGCAACCTACTTTCACAGCACTAGTATAAAATTAATTAGGTCCTGTTTTTTTTTTTTAACAGACTTTGCTGCTGCTAAATAACGTAGTACGTGGTCATGTGTATGTGAAAAAGAGAAAGTTTTCTAAACCCCATCCTGCATTCTACCCCTGATCAACAAGTTGAAAATGTTTTTAATATTTTGTATTAGCTCTTTACTGATGCTTTTGTGCACTTCCTGAAAGGTTGAAAAATGTAGCTACCATAATTACAAATAGACTCCAACACACACCCTCATTACTTAAACTTGCTTTTTACTACAGATAAGTAACAACTCATTTTACTGTGATTTGGAAATGTAGGAAAAGCACTGTAAATAAACCTAGATCATTCTCATATTTCATCTTTCCTCAGAATTTTCTTTTCAAAATTCCTAGGACTCTAACTTCATTCCATGAAAACCCTTTTAGGGATAGTTAGTCTGATGAATTTTTAGCATCATTAACTGAATGCTATAAGTTTTTACACAATTCTAAACACTTTTTAACTGGATAAAATATGGCAAATACAAAATGATTTCTCTAAGATAATCATTCCAATTTTGTTAGAGCCATTCTACAGGCTCTCTTCATTTACATCAAATAGTGAAATAAGATATTTACACTAATGAACGTCCACACAAATACATATTACAAGTTTATCCAGTGGAGGACAAATGTATAAAAAAATTCCAACAAAATGCTTAGCCCCAACAAAAATTCCAACAAAATTCCACAAGGTGGGGAATGGCTGTGCCAACGAGGACAGGTATTGTCAGTTCCAAACCACACATGCCTCATAGTGAGATCGAATCTGAGCGTATCTGAAATTCTTTGCCTGTGTCTGAGCTCCCCCATCAGGAGGATGTGGAAAGTAGGAACCACAGAGTTGATTCTGGTTGGAATATGAGAATTAAAACTCTGCTGGAAGAAATATCCACAGAGAGGGGTGATGGGAGACTTAATAAAGCCTGTGTAGGTAGTTGGTCAAGGACATGGATTTAGTACTTTGTCACAGGCCACCTTGGTTCAGACTTTATGCCCTGTTATTCCATTTGCCACATAATTCTTGCCTGGTCGCGTCAATAAAGAGTTGACTTTTCATCTGAAGCACAGGCCAAACTGTGATGGTTTTTCTTGTAAGAGTTCTCTTCTCAAGTAATTTCACATCCGTTATAATTAAAAGTGATTTTATCATGCACCCTTTCATTTGCTATGAAGTCACCTGAGGACTGAAAGTGATGAGCTCCCATGACTAGAAGACTGTTTTTAAAAATCAGACAGAAAAGTACAATAAGACTTATACACGGGACCAGCCTCACTTACTTCCATATGTTCTCTCGACCAACGTTAAAGGCAATATTACAAATATTGCCAAAATGTTCCCCCACCCCGGCACTTTAGCATTTTGGCGCTGGTTAATACTGTTACTTTCCCTCCCAGGAGCCTCAGCTGCCAGCGGGTGACCATACACAAGCACATGTTTCTGACCTACATCCTGAATTCCATCACTGTCCTCATTCACCTGATTAAAGTGGTGCCCAACGAGGAATTCGTGAGCATGGATCCGGTGAGCGTCCCCTTGTTTGTTTTTAATGTTATTTTTAAGGATGTAGTATCTGTAAATAGTGAACATGGTGTTATTGTTTGATTTAAGCAGGTTTTTTTACATGTGCAACGTATTTAGTTTTACAGTTCAGTCTTGCATTAAGCAAGGCATGTCTTTTATTTCTAGGCAGTTAGTAGAACTAGTTGTTCTGTGCCATAGTAAAGGGCTGGGAATGATTCACTCATAAGCGAATAAGAAGTATACAAACACTTGTGAGTTTTCACTGCTAATTGAAGATGCATGGACATCTATGGGGAGTTTACTGAGCACACCGTAAGGACATAGGCAATAGTAGGTACACTGGGGCAGTGCGTCCCTGGTGGCCCAGCATGTCCCTTACCAGGCTACAGATGTGCCTAAACATTAATCCCCTCAGCATTCTGGCATCAGGCTGGGCTTGGGCCAGATACTTCAGCGATGAATAACTATGCATTCACTCTAGTGAGCCATCTAAATATTAATCATATTCTCTATCTGCGTGACTTTTAAAAGGTTTAATTACCCCTACTTCACTCATTCTCATCTCCCATCTTTGCTGATGGTCCCATTATCTGAGCTCAACCAGAAACCACAGGGCAGGGAAGCCCTGACTGCGGTGGTCAGAGCTGTTTCTCTGCGCCCAGGGCAGTGGGAGCAGGGTGGAGAGTGCCTTTCGAAGCACAGACAGAAGCTTTCTAGCGCAGAAGGAAGGGCCAAGCGGTGTTTGCATTTTTGTTTCTCTGCTTAACTGTGTTATGCAAGCATGTGTAGATAGCCTCAGCTTTCAGAATTGGCATTTGACGGCTCTGCCAACCGATGACAAAAATGCGTGAAATCTGCCCAGAGCATGCATCCTGTGTGACAGTGGCATGGCCTGGGAAAGCAGCTTAATTTGGCTGCTAATGGATCCATGGTGTTAATCATCTTTCGCAGTGTGAATATATCCAAAGAGGAATTGTGATCCATTGTCTAAAACCATGGCCTTTGTCATGTGAGACAAATTCCTGTCTTAACCTATAGAACAAGACGAAGGGGGTTTATCTTGATGACTTTTCTTTTTTAAGGTCAACTGATTTCAATAAAATAATCTCATTTCACTTAATTCTCCTAAGACTTCAGTGAAGGGTGGGTATTATCTCCATTATTAGCTGAGTAAACAGAGACACGGTACTGCACTGTGTCCTCTGCACTGTGGCAGGTCAGCGATGGGATCCAGACCCAGACCTGCCTCCCGCAGGAGCCGACCCTCTCTCCGCTGCACCACCAGTGCTTTTCGTTGTCTCGTTCATTCCCTCGGGAGGAGGCATTCCTGAAGAGATGGGCTCGGCCATTGCAGAGCAACGACTGTCCATAACTGGATGCGGACACTACATTTAATTAGGGAGGATGACCCCCACTAAGTTTGAAACAGATGTAGAAGCAATTAACTAATCATCTCTCAACGGGAAAAACTCAAATTTTTGGCTTCCCATTTCCCATTAAGTGTGGAAATCCTGAGAAAGTTATTTATTGTCTCTACAAAATAGGCCAGAACACGGGAACTCAATCACTAAATAATCAACCCTGCAAATCATACACCATCAAGTTATGAACTATCGTAAATTCTTAAATAAACCCACCACTTGTGTACCACCAGCCCCCTCCTGGCTGTTAGGGGGAGGGGCTGCTCATCTACTGTGAAATCTGCTAAACCTGTTATCTTCCTGAAATAGTCTAAGTTCAGGATTTTTCTGAGTTCACCATTGAATTGCAGAAATCATTTAACCTTATCTCTCAAATGCAAACAGTAAATACTGCCCTGCTTTTTCCCAAGAGATTGTCTTGTAGTTCCAAAAAAAAGCATAAAGCTTTTAAAAATTCCCGAGGGCATAATATTATAAGCCATCGCTCTCAGGGTTGCTATGAACACTTGCCTGGTGGCTAACTCCCTGGGTCTCTGCACAAGGCTTTCCCATCCTGTCTGTTGCTCTAGTCATTGCTCTTAATGGTCTTAGGAGTTAGCATCGCTGGATATTTCCACTCTCATAGGATACTTTAGAGGCAGACATGCCTATGTAGTCCATCAGCCACTGCACCCAGGCTGCCTCCATGCCACCAAAAAGCCAGCCTAGCTCTGCCTTGCAGCTTTCGTATTGCCTAGAAAGCTTTACACCCAGCAAGCTGGTATATAGCATCCTGGCTCAGCCACTGTGCAGCTCGTGCCCCGGGGAAATGTTAAGTGTGAGGACGGGGGAGCCAGAGAACTGTACAGGAGCTTTCCTTCTGGGTATGGAGGAGTGGATGGCAGTCTCACACACGTTAAGGGTCCTCCAAGTGACCTAAGTTTGAAAATCAGGAAAGAAGCTTATCTTTATGACATGACTAACTCTTGATGCTCTCAAATCGAAATACTGTGAAGCTAAAAGACTTGGGGTTTTTTTAGCTATGCAAAACCAAACTTCCTAGAGAAAAAAACAACTGTAAAACACTTGAAAGGTAGAATTTAATCCAATCCATCAAGTGTTGCTCTGACTTGTGGATATAGAGGGTGGCACCTGTGACCAGGTGCTTGGGGAAGCTAAACGCAGGCTGATGCAGACACTTTGGCTGGTTTTCACACTTACCCTCTGCTCACTGTCACATCTTTGCCTGTGTCTTCTCCTGAGCATCTCCTTTTCCTTCTGACAGCTGAGCTGCAAGGTTTTGCACTTTATCAACCACTACCTGATGTCCTGCAATTACTTCTGGATGCTGTGTGAGGGGATCTATCTGCACACACTCATTGTGGTGACCGTGTTCACTGAGAAGCAAAACATGAAGTGGTACTATCTCTTGGGCTGGGGTATGTATTACCTCCAACTGAGTTTTGAGCCTCATTCCCCTCTGTCTGTATATGTACAATCTCCTCTGGTCTGGGTGTCAGAGAACAATCAGGGGCCCAGGTCCTTTGAGGAATGATGAGGCAGATGCTAGAAGGAGTTCGGTCTCCAGGAGAGCTTGGTAGGAGCCCTTTAACAAGTTTATACAGACTGTGGTGGACATGGGGTGGGAACAGAGGGGCACGATGATGAGTGTCTTCAAGGAACTCGGCCATTGGATGGATAGAAAACATGCCTGTAAGAGAAAATCCAACCAGCCCCCCTTCAGTTTTATTTATCACCTGTTTGTAGAGCAAAGGAGAATGTCCCATTTTCAGTTCTGTATGTCCCCCACCCTGGCCCACATCCCTTTCTCAAGAACATTGCTTCCTGCCCATCCATCAAGCAGGGTTTCTCCAACAAAATGTGAAGGAGTAGGGACTAGATGAGCAATAGGTATAACCACATGGGCCTCCAAATGGGGCCCGTCTGACTTCACAGAGCATGGCAATGGCTTTGGAAAACTTAGGGCTGGATTGCTCAAGCAGTGACCACTTCTGTAGATTGACTGAGGCAGGGTTCTCGGGTCCATGAGAACTCCCTAGAATTGCTTCCCTTCCTTCCCCCAGGGCTCTATCAGTGTAGCCCACTCTGGTGGAAAGGGGGAAGATAGACAGTGAGGTCTAGAAAGGGAAAAGTTTCTGGGACAAAAACGCATGCTGCTTTATTTTCCTAAAAGTCCCAGGAAACTCCCATATCAGAGAATTCTTGGCATCCACTGATCAGAGGACTGTAAATCTTAGAACAGAGGCTGTAGAGTATCTTCAGCTAAGCATGACATTTAAGTGCAGGGTTTTGGGGAGCTCCTAAAAATACTGGTAAGAGGGAAAGGGTTTACTGAGGATAGAGAATAATCCAAAAGGTTTCTAAGAACATCAGTCTTTGTATTTAAACCCCTGCCCAAAAGACATTGTTACCAAGTGTACAGAAATGTGTCTGGGAAGTCCGATAAGCAACTCGAAGTCTTTTCCACAATCTAGACCAGGGCTAACCCTAGGGAAGATTCGTTTTCATAACACCCCTCCCTAATAGAAATACATGGATTTTTAACCAAGCACACGATTCGAACCCAGCAAGATATCCTATAATTATGGGTCAATGGAACAGATATTTGGAGTATTTCAACATTGAACTGATGATGTTATAACTCTTTGGTTGTAAGTGACAGAAATCAAGATATTCTAATTTAAGCAAAAAGAGAGAAATGATCAGAATCAAAGTATTCCACGGAAATAGCACCCCACCCCAGGCCCCCCAATATGCACTCACACACATACACTGTTCTGTCTGATCTAAATACTTCCTTCCTTCAAAGTGAAATCTACGGTGCACTTCCTGTACCCGCTTTGACTATTTAAGAACATCTCTCTGCCCTAGTCAAAAAATGTTCCTGGAAGAAAAAGGATGTAAATCTATTTTTGAAAGAAACACATTTTTTCTTCCTACAACAGGATGAGGTGGAGTGAGATCCCCATATGCGTCCCTTGTTGTCTCATTAAAAGTATGTGTTTCAGAATAAATTCAGAGAATGAATTTCTCGAAGCCCCAGTGGGGAAACCGTGTGCTAGAATGGCTGTCAGGACAACACAATTATGTCTTGTGTAATGGTCAAATTCAAAATTATTTCAGATCAAAATTACAATTGAATCGACAGTCCTATTGAATTATATGCTTCATGGCTTTAGAAGGGAGGCTGTTCTCTGGTGAGAACTCAGTATTTTCAGGCATTCTCTTGTTTGCCTATAATTCTCAGAAAATCAAAGTGTGTAGGTCTAATTCACTTCTGAGACACACTTCTTGACTGATAGAATTTAAAAACTCATTTTACAAGTTTCTCAACCAAATTAAACAATGTGCTGTTATACATGAGTACATTTGAGGAAAAAGACATCTTTTTTTCCTCACAAAAATTACAACTTTTGTCTAGATGAGCTATATAGAATGAAAAAAAATTTTTAAAGAAGTATCCTGACAGGATGCATTGCCAATAATTACCTCCATCATTCTGTTTGTAAATTCCAAGTTGTTTTCGCTAGCACTTCAAGTGCAGTCGGGGAGGTCCATACTAAGCTGCCTTAATACAGGTCCGCAGCCAGAGCATACGCCGGCTACTCTGAAGCTCTCATATTGAAAGAGAACAGGATTGATGCACATGGTAGAGACAGAAAAGTAAAAAGCCACTGCAAACACCAACAAGGCTCTCAGACCGTCACTTCCACATGCTGTCCCAGGTCACGTGCTCCTGGGGACCCCAGCTTCTCTCTCTGAAAGAGCCCAGGTCACACACAGTGAAAAGCTTTCTGGTCTACAGTCATCATCCTCACCCCATCGAGATGTGACAATGGTGTTAGTCCTGGAGAGAGTAATAATGTGTCTACCACCCCACATGATTTGGGAGAGGCTTTAATTATTTGGGTGATCTTAACCTAACTCTCTGAAAGCCCGTGATGTTCTAATCAAGAACATTTCTACCTGGTTTGATCAAAGATATTTGTGCTAAACATCAGGAAACTATCTTGACAGAAACAATTAATTTGCCACTTTTTTTTTCAAAGTAAGTAAGTTGTCTATGTTCTATGCAACTGCAGTTATAGCTTATGACAAAGAAGCCAGGTGTAATGGGTACTGTTTCACATTTTTAGGGTTCCCCATGGTGCCAACTATCATCCATGCCGTTACCAGGACCCTGTACTTCAATGACAAGTAAGCACTGTGGGTGTTTTTAGTTAACACTTGTAGATGAGATGCATGTGCACTGATGTTTTCTGCCCCCTCCCTTTGTCCAGCTGCTGGCTGAGCGCGGAGACCCACCTGCTGTACATCATCCACGGCCCCGTCATGGCAGCACTGGTGGTGAGAACTGCTTTCGAAGTCTGTTACTAACATCCCCAGAGTGTCCTCTCTGGGGATTTCTTCGGCGATAGTTCTATTAGCATGTATATCATAACTTTCAAATGAAGCTAATTTAATGATAATCTTTAATAAAAAGAACAATTACTGATCGATGCTCAATGTCCCAGCAGTGCAGAGCAAACTGAACGACCTTCAGGCAGTCCTGTGTGGGTGGGCTCCCCACCCGGGGGAAAGAAGAACTGAGGAAAGTGGGTGTCCCTCAGCGGTCCTGACCTGCTGGTCTGCTCACTCACGACATCGTATCTTTGCAGGTCAACTTCTTCTTTCTGCTCAACATCATCCGTGTGCTCGTGAAGAAGATGAAGGAAGCCCAGCAGCCCGACTCGTACATGTACCTGAAGGCGGTGAAGGCCACTCTGTTCCTGGTGCCCCTGCTGGGAGCGCAGTTCGTCGTGTTTCCCTGGAGGCCCAACAACAAGGTGCTTGCCCAGATCTACGACTACCTGATGCACTCTCTGATTCACTTCCAGGTAAGGAAGCCGGTGGTGCGTGTGTTCCATGACTTGCTCTGCTGGTTGATGCAGGATGATCCATTCCCTGGGGCTCATCTGTGATGAGAGGGACCCTTTTGACCATGTGTAACCTGGAAGGGGTTCTCACTGCCAAGCTCTCCCACTTTCTGAATCTTACAGTTGAAGAAGGAAGCAGGGGGTATGGGCTTGGAGAGATACCTCCATGTCCAAATACCTGTCCAGGGACTGAGCCAGTGCACGGTGCCGAGGACAAGCTCCTGTCCCCACAATCCTTCCAACCTCTCCTCCCCCCCCCCCAGTATTTTGAGGGCTGTATTTTGTTTTCTCGAGGGGAGTTCTGAAGAACAACATAATCCATGCCCATCAGTTTCCCAACTGTAGTGAAGCCTTGGATGTGAGTGGTAGCAATAGTTTTTCATCGAACCTTGACTATCGCAATAGTAAAATGTTCCTCTCCAGATTGTCTACTTACATTAATGGCTAAACAATGTAATGTACGTGAAAGCAACTTCAGCTCTTTCCTCCTCTCTGTAGGGATTCTTCGTTGCCGTGATTTACTGCTTCTACAACAGCAACGTAAGCATGCCTTTCATGTGTTACTACTGCTTGTTCATACGAAGCCAGCACTTTTCATCTTCCAGGGAGCTGCTTCTCATTTGGGCTCATGGTCATAGTGCTCTTTTCATGGTTGCATGACTAGCGGGGTTGTGTTTTCCCACCACTGCAAGGTGAATCTTTTCTGTGCCTTGTGGTACAATTGCAGGTATTACTCAAACAGGCAGCTAAATTATGATTTCCTTGGATTGCACCCTGAGCAGCGATAGTGAAGGCCATCCTGGATCCCCCAGAGAGGAAGGTCATGCCCCATCCTCTGGAAGCCCCACTGCTCACTAGGGCAGAGCCAACATCCAGCCCGTCTGTGCTGGTTTGCTGCCTCCTTTTCAGCAGCTTGGTGCAGTATTACGCCACTACTTTTTAATTTCCAAGTGAATTTAAAGTTTCTTTTTTTAATCATAATTTTTAACCTTAAATTTGTTTTGCAGTCTGTCAAATTGTGGTGGCAGAAAGTGAAGGGGCAGGCCTTAGAATCTTTTCATTCACTGGATCAAAACTCCTGGCAGAAACCTTGCCTTCCATTCAAGTACATAACGTAACTGCAGGTGATTGTGGAGAACTTAACGGGAAAATAAGACCATAGTGAAAATATTCTATTACAACTTGATCTTCTTTTTTACAAATATATGTAAACTGAGTCCCAAATGCACCAACTTTACGCAGCAGGTTAATAATAAAATTGGGTGTAATAATTATGTCTCCAAACATCAGACTGGGGCTTATTTTATAAAGTTGGCAATAAATAAATTGAAATAATCAGGGGAAACTCTAAATTGACCTCTATTAATTGCTTTTAAAATGAGTGATGGTTTATATACTAATTCAAAACTCTGAATGTTATACTATCTATCCCCTTAGCAAATCCTAACATTTCTAATGCTTTGGGAGCAAAAAACCAAAATCTCCTGGGGTTTTTTTTTGTCAAACAAATTTAATAACCTGCCCTGGCTGGTGTAGCTCAGTGGAATGAGCGTGGGCCTGCGAACCAAAGGATAGTGGTTCGATTCCCAGTCAGGGCACATGCCTGGGTTACAGGCCAGTTCCCAGCAGGGGACGCACAACAGGCAACCATACATTGATATTTCTGTCCCTCTCTCTCTCCTTCCGTTCCCCTCTAAAGATAAATAAATAGAATCTTTAAAAAAGTTAATAACCTTATTCTTGGATCAAAGAAACATTAGGCTCGACCTGTGGCATTGTAAAAAATAATGGCCCTTTTTAAAGTGCAGTTATTGATGGTGTGCTGCTAAGGGCCTATTCTAATACGTGAGGTATACAGAGTAAAGCAGGTCACCATCTGCACACAGAAGGATAGGTTATCATTTTGGAATATGATTATAGAGGGCTATGAACATTTCTGTAGTAATCATTAAAAAATTAAAGTAGACTTCAAATCCTTTCACCTGGTACTGGGCTGGGCACTTAATTAATAGGCACAGTGCTCTACTGGGGGTTATTTTAAAAGGACAAATGAGGAGAAGCTGAGGCAATTTTATTTCCACTGGGTCCTTTTACTAACTCATTTAAACTTATCACTGTCTGCCTTGACTACTTCTACACATCTTCTACATCAGGCTCTTGCCTTATCAGAGGTGGTAGCAGATACAATGTTTTCCAAGTCTTTCTTCCTCATGGGATGTGTCTGCCATGTATTAAGTGTGAAACCAGGTCAAATTTCGCTCATTGGACTCAAGAGCTAAAGAAGAAACCTTTGCGCAGTAGCAAGTAACCTTGCCCACGGAGGCCTAGGCAGGTACTGGTGCCAATTGTTCCCCGCACGGCCAGAGCACAAACCACACAGCCTTTTAAATTGGAATTACAGTTCAATCGCCCACCTTTAACTTCTGTTAGGTCCCAAGAATTGTGCTCAGAAACTTGACTTGTGCCGGTTCTGACCTTACATGAGCACAAGACTCCCTTTTCTCTTCCAGGTCCAGGCCACCTTGCAGCGCCAGTGGATCCAATGTAGTATCGAATGCGACCAGCGCTACGGGCGCCGCAGCAACAGGCGCCCCAACAACAGGCGCCCCGACTTCAATGCTGCCGCCGCCGCCGCTGCCGCCGCTGCCGCTGCTGCCGCAGCTGCCGCCGCCGCTGCCGCAGAGGCTGAGGTTGAGCCTGGCAGTGGTCTCCCCATTTACATCTGCCACCAGGAGCCCAGGAACCTCATCGTTACCATCAGCCCTGCCGAGGAGAATTCTGAGTTTATCCCTATGGAAGTGGTAGAAGTGGTGGAAGTGGTGGAAGAGGAGACCAGCGCTTAAGTGTGAAGCCAATAGAGCATCGTGATCTCTGAGCCTTCATGTCCTGGGAGAAAAAACAACCATGCGTTTAAAGTGACCCCCATCCTCCCAGGAGCCAAACATGTCATCTGTGAAGAATCTTTAAGTAATTCTGTCCGTAGTGAAGCTGAAGAATATTCTTGGTACTATTGCCATGGGAGACAGGCTAGGAATGGAGTCTCCCACTGCGACACTTGTGAATTCCATCTTCCATCCAGTGCTGAAATGCAGGTGTAACGTATGCAAAGTGTCCGAGACAAACACAAGTGAATTGACCTAGTTCAGATACAGGGTGCTCCTTGTTAATCTTGAGCCATTTATACCTTTAAAAATGAAAATCACGGTCAAAATCTTTTCTTTTTAACTCTAAAATTTGAATTAGACTATTTCTGTATTTGGCTATGGATCTGATTTTTAATTTTTTTATTTCAATCGATTCTGATATTACTCAGATGTTGTGCCATCCACGCAGTGCAAACTACACAAATTACGACGTGACCTCTACAAGGCCAAGTGGCTTTCTCACATAGGGATGGCTAAGAATGTGGAAACGAAGGAAGGTGTAATGCTTTGAATGGAAAAGAAGTTGAGTCAATTTGCTTGAAACATTAGATGGGCCAATTTGGTCACTGGCTTATGCTCAGCCTAGTTTTAGATGACCGTGTCCAGTAGGCAGCCCCTAACGTTGGTAAGGAAGGGGCCTTCAGGTTGAAATGTGCTTCGGTCACTGGCGTATATAAATTGGGAGGTCACAAAGAATCCTTTGCTAAATTTTTCACAAAACTGCCAAAAATATAATTCCTAGTGGGAGAGAATATTCTCTCTAAAGAAAGTTTTCTACTTTCCTAAGCTCTAGGATTTAGAAAGCAAACCACTCCAAAGTTTGTAAAGCTGATTACCTCTTGCCCTTGGGTGCTACCTAGCAGTAAAAGATACATTTAAGACTGGTAATTAAAGGACTCCATATAAGTTCACTCACTGCTTTCCACCCGGCTTCAGCGCTTAACAAGATATCAGTCTTTTTCAGGAAGATTCGGCAGGGCTAATTATAAGTCAGGTTGTAGCTGACCTCTTGTTTGCTGTGCACAGGAGGGGGGAAATGTAACCACTACAAATCCGTATACCGATTCCCAATTCATTTGAAATTCACATGGTTTCTCACTGAAACCCAAAATTACATTCCCGTGTCTCTGTTTACTTCCTCAGTTCAAAATCTTCCAAAGTCCCTGAATAAGCCAGTATTATAACTGGCACCTGAAATTAATTTGTGAATTTGGAACCATAATCAGAGTTATCCTTGTTTAATTTGTCTGCTAAATGAGGAGATACACCGAAACCCTTTAAATCACAAGTCTCATCTATGACACTTCATGCCACTGTGGAAGTGATTTAGTTGTGGAAAGACAAAAAATTTGTTCTGGTTACATGGATAGGTTGCCCCCCCAAAATTATATTCTTTCAGAAAATATTTTGGATACTAAAGTAGTTTAAGTCTCTTTTACCGAATGTAAAGGAAGAGTTAAAAAGAGGGTATTTTTCCAATCACAGTGTTTATGTAATGGTGTTTCTATTTTTGTTTACAAACATGGAAAACAGTGTATTTCAGGCAGCTCTAGTACAAATGTGATAATATATTGCTAAAATATTCTAGATGTTATTAAGCTAATATAGTAGGGGCTGAAGAAAATTGCTTATAATAGAATTGTACCGACTGCCCAAACTATGTGAAATGCTTATGCTATGTATATGTATAAATTAATACAGTGTATGTGATAAGCAAAAAGGTGTATACTTGTGTATTTTTCTAAAGAAATATATTCTTCATCTTGCCATTCATTCATCTCGTCTCCTGCTCATTCCATCTCCTTTTTCATTTCAGTCGTGGGTGCCGACATCTCTGCCTAGTCCTGCAGGAGAGAGGGGGATAATCCAAAGCACAGGTTAGAAAACCATGTGCCAAATGGTAACATTATTATCTTTGTCAGTTTTACCATCTTCAGTCTTCAGTCTGACTCCATGACACATTTCTCATATCCTTGATAAAACAAATATCACATACAACTATCGATTTATATCCTTTAAGTTTGGGAGGCACAGCAAACAAATCTGGGACAAGACAGTACCGTGTCCTTTCGCATCCCGGGGGCAGACCCGCACTGTCCAACATCACATCAGAGCATTAGAATCGCTACAGTCATCGATTTTTAATACAGTTTGAGAGAGAGACTAAGGATAAAAGGCAACTAATTAAATCATTAGTATGCATAAAGGCCACTATTGGAAAGATGTGTAGATCTGGAAAGTATGAAAAGAAAAAATGAGGGTTAAATGAGACTGACTAACAAAAGGGAACATGGGCAAAGTATAGGTTCTTCACACTATGCAAAATCGTTGGTCTCGTGAGATGTGGAGAACTTTTTCAAAGAGGATACAGAAGGGAAACATCTTTCCCTCTATGTTCCAGTGAGTGATACACCCTCCTGATCCTGAAGAACAAAAATAATCTCTCATCACATCACAAAATCTGATTCTTCAGCAGGCAGGTTGAACCCCGATGGTCAGCCGCCCACCTGCCTTCATCCCTACTGCAAAGGACCCGGAACAGGCCTTTGGGCTCACATGGACATTGTAGGGTCCTGAGAAAGGAAAGGTTTTAAACAAAGAAGTGACAAAAACACTCTCATCATGGAGCTCCAACCCATCCTATGCATTCCCTCATTCACTGCCATTGCTGTTTCATGTAACTTTCATTCAGCTATACAACAAATGCTTCTTAAGAGTAGTTATCGGGGCAAAACTTCTTTGCAGTGACAATTGCTTGTTTCTGTGTCAATGGTAAAAATCAAAACCTGCTCAGTGAGCCAATACCCTAAAACCATAACCACTGACATTTGTGGAGCAGGGGGAGAACAAAGCGACCTGCGTGGTCGGATGTGGTAGCAATCAGGTAAACTTAGAAGCAAACTTCATTGGTTGTTTTGACATGGAGACAAGTTGTTTCTCTAACTTAAGCTTAGTAAAATTGATTTTACTTAACGAATCCACAGAAAACTTGTGTGGGGTGGAGAGGTGGGGAAATGAGAAGTGAAAACATAAAGAAAAAGGAATTTTATGCAGCAGAAAGAAAGAAGGAGCTCCTACCCTTTGCAACAGCATGGATGAAACTGGAAAGCATTATGCTGAGTGAAATAAGCCAGGTGTTGAAAGACAAATACCATATGATCTCACCTTTAACAGGAAGCTAAACAACAAAACAGACAAGCAAGCAAAATAAAAACAAAGACACTGAAATAGAGAACAGGGGGACAGCGACCAGAGGGGAGAGGGGAGGGAATTTCAGGGGAAAAGGGGAAGGATTTACAGGAACTAGTAAAAAGGACACATTAACAAAAACTAAGGTGGGGGGTGGAAATGGGAGGGAGGTGGGGAGCATGGGGTGGGGTGGGCTGGGATGGGAGAAATAGAAAACTGTACTTGAACAATAATTAAATTTAAAATTTTTTTAAAGAAGAAAAAGGATAAACACGCACATGTGAGGACAAAGGAAGGTAGAAAGTCCACATTTGAAAATTGAAAACTAACAACAACATTCCTGATAGTTTTAATTCTTCTAGACATATTGACAGACTTAACCTCTGCTTAATAGCTGAATAATGTGAACACTGAAGAAGAGAAAACACAGCCATTGAAACTGAAAACTAACTTAGGTCAAGATTTTCTGACACCCTACCTCCCTCCACTTGGATCAGCAAGCATCTCTGAAAGATTTCAGAGATGTTTTCCACCACCGTAAGCACTGAGTGGCCAGTGTCTTAGGTCAGGGATTAGTGCTCTCTCTCCATTCACAGAAGTTCAGTGCCTTCTGCCTAAACTTCCCCGAATCCCCCGGCAGAGACCCAGACAGTGCCCCCGCTCTTTCCCTGATTCTCCAGCATGTCATTGCTGTCTCTTTCATCTGAGAGACTTACCACCTTATTTTAATTTGGAGAAATTGTCCCCAAATGAAATCTCAGGGTATTACTAGTGAAGTGTTCAATAGAAGTTCAGTAAAACCACTGGAGATGTCTTTAATGAATAAATAAATAAATAAATAAATAAAAGCAGCCCCTTTCAGAGTAGATCAGGATCGGGGTCTCCGTGTAAACCTGCCAGACCAGCTGATCGAAGCCGGCACACCCGTCTCTCACACCTGAACACACACCCAGCCGCACACCCGGAACTTCTGCACAGCAGGGTAGGTGGTCAGCCGAGGGGCCGCAAGCCTTTCTCTGGAGACAGTGGTCCTCCAATGCACCTGTGCTTCACAGCTTCTGTCCACCGTCATCACAAGAGGGAGGTCATGGGGCTTAACGTTATAGAGCACATTTGAGAACAAAAAACAAAAAAAAAAAGAAAAGAAAAACACTGCAGTCAATATAGACCTAGATACATTGGCTTACTTGCTCTTTATAAGAACCCAAACTAGTTTTTCCTATGTTAGTGAGGAGAAAACCACAGGAAAGTGGAATAACATGTCCACCACAGTCACACAGTGAGCAGCTGAGCTAGGGTATGAATTGAGTGCCAATGCCTCTGCTTTTTGGGGAGTGGTGGGGAGGAAAATGCTTTATTATTACACAGAGGGTGTCACAGGCTCCTGAGGTCACCGGGGCACTTTTCAAGAAGGCCTCATGTAGGACATCAAAACAGCCCATGGGGCTCCTGGAGCCACTGGCCTGGGCACAAGGTGGAATCTTCCCATGATGCAACTGTGAACTGTTCTAGGGACCCAAAAGCAGCCAGCCAGGAGGGTCTGACTAGCTGTTTTGTGGAATTAATTCACGGTGGAAAAACGTTCAGTTACCTGGGACACAAAGTCTCGCTCCAGGTTCTCTATCAGGAGGTCTGCCGGCTTCTGCTCGTAGGCCTTGTAGGTCGCCAGGTACTGCCCAGCCCCCTCCAGGCTCCAGGCAGGGACCAGGGTGCAGTTGGCCAGGAAACAC